AAAACAGCTCCTGTCAACAAGGAAATGGACAGTTTCGAGCCCTTGAGTTTCTTTTGGTAGGTAAATTAATTTATAACCACTTCAGCACACGCACAAAATAATTGTTATTCAATGGCAGGGCAGAAGAAGAAGACATCACAATAACGTGTGAAAATGAAGACGACATCGACTGAAGAAACACGGAAACGCCAAACAGGAGCATGGATCAAAAGCATGAATTAGAATTTATCACTGTGAGGAAACTCGAATCTCAGGAGGCCTCCACTGATTAAGAAAATGTTAGTTACTACCACAGGTAGACCAAACTCGCACATTGAGCCTCCGTTAATATGCAAATATGTTTACATTGCGCAATGGGCGAAATACGACTAAAACCGAGCTGATTAAAAGGCCCAAACTAAGCTAAGACATCTTACAAGATAAAAAAGAACAACCACTTAAGCAAGGTAAGTTTGTTTTTAATCCAAAAAATACTTTAGAATTTTTGATTGGGAGTGCGACCATTTATTCCCATACAAATCCTTGTATTTTTGCCACGCAAAAGTTAGCATAGTTGCATTTTTGTGGAGGCTGATTGTGCAAGGTTGGGCTACTGTGCTGGGCCGGGGTCTGTCGAGTTAGTTTCCCGCAGTTTTCATGGAGAATAATTTGTAACGGTAACAAAAGATATTCTCGTCATTTATTAGCTCCCTCTAACTTTCAAAAGTTATCCCAACCCTTTCCTGCCTCTTGGTTTTGCATAATTGTCTTGAATTTTCCTTAAACCAGCATCCCTCCTGGTTAGATAGCTTAGATGGCGGGATTTGCTTTCTTAGATAAGGTCTCATATGTGAATGTGCCAAATGTTTTCTGCAATGATTATATTTCACTAACCTTCAGGTAAAACTACTAAAGCTCCCCAGATCATTATGAAGAACTTTGACACTCCGTATGCAAGGTACCTCCAATAAGTTTTATAAGAAACGGAACCAGTCAGGCGATCTTCTTCTTCGATTTCCAAACGAGAGGAGTTACCAGTCTTTGTCATCGGAGCTCCGTATGGCACCAGATTACTAGAAAGGCTTCTTTCGTTTGCTTTAGCAAAGGGTACTGTTGCAGAAATTTCACAGAATTCCTCCAATTCACTAAGCTCTCTATAAATACCTTTAGTCAACTTGCTTTCCTTGTCCATCAAAAGAACCAGATCTGTCTTTCCAAGAAAACGAGCTTGATGGGTAATTAACAGTCGGATCCGATCGGACAAAGTGCCACAAATACACCTCTGAAAGATTTCATTCGACACTTTTGCGTCAACAGAGCTAAGCGGATCATCCAAAAGATAAATGTCGGCATCAGAATACACTGCGCGTGCCAAGTTTAGCCGTGCTCGCTGACCGCCACTCAAACTTACCCCGCGTTCCCCGACATAAGTCAGATCACCACAGGAAAGAGACTTCAGATCTTCCTTCAGCGAACAAGCCTCGATAGCTTTTTCAAAAGTATCTTGGATGAACTCCTTTCCAAAAATGATGTTTTCGCGGATTGTTCCCGAAAACACCCAAGGTGTTTGGCAAACGTAAGCAATTTGTCCCTGATGAGTAATTTGACCATAATCTGATGGTATTTCGCCAAGGATAAGATCAAAAAGAGTCGATTTTCCGCAACCCACCGGGCCTGTGATTCCAATCAACTTAGAATTGGAAATGCATAGACTTAAATTGAAAAAGTCATTCTTTGGATGGGCTTTAACTCTTTTCAAACATAGGAAAGGCTTGCCTTTATCACAAACATGATTCGTCAGAAAAGTTGGTTCCACCGCTGAAAACTGATATTCGTTTAATTGTGTTTCGCTTATGCCAGTTGCGTCCTTTGATTGTAATGGATTCCATTTTTGAGTGGAAGGCAGCGGTGCATCGCAATCATCGTCAAGAAGAAACGACTCTACTCGTTCAAGTGTTGTAAATGCTTGAAAAAGAGCGCGAAACTCATACGAGAACAGAACAGTGACTGGTTTTTGGAGTGCACCTAGCAGAGCCAAAGTAGTGAAGACATTTTGAGCTGTAAGGTGATTCCCAGCCATGAGAAACGGAAACAAAGCGACAAAACTGGACACTATTGGGTAACAGGAATACGCCGAGAGGTAACCAGCTAAAATAACTCCTTTCTTGTACACAATGTTGAGCTCTAATCTGAGTGGAATAGAATATGATGATAATGATTAGAACATTCACAGGAAAGTTAGGTAGTTATTCCCAAGGTGGAGTTAATAGGCGGCTTCGCCTTTTAAGAGGGAATGCGAAAGGGTTCCCTACCCGTATGGTGCGCCTTTCCATTCCAGAGATACATATCAGAAGATGAGGATTTTTGGAACTTAGGCATTTGATCAGAATAGTGTCAGACAGGTGGTGTGATTTAGATGGATTCACTAAACGAGAGACAAGTACTACCCAGTAACAGTCTGCTAGGCCAGTTTGTCTCTTATTTCTTTGATGTTAGCCTAATTTTTGTAGAGACGTACGATGAGAAATCTCGCTCATAACATTACTTTCAAATTTTGTAATTGATGCTTTGCTTCAAAGTCAAGTTTCTACGATTCCATAGAGACTCAGAGAGTTCTTTAAGAAGAGCTAACATCGGAGAATGATGCCTGAGGCTAAGATAGCGTCCAAAAAATGAGCAATTGACGAAGAGGAAAGTCTTTGGAAAAAACCGAGTAAAAGGTTAAGGACAATGTTTTAATCAAGTTAGTGGCGCAGCATTTGAAGTTATCCACCTTGCCGAGTTAATTTGTTGGAATTGTTAATAGATACATCGAGTGAGTCTTAAAGAAAAAAACACCAACTGACGCTTAAGTTGCAAGTATATTGCATATATTGGACTGCGACGTTTTGATGACTGATTTTTTCTTTAATTTTCGGGATTTCAGTTTTGCAAATGGAGGACTGTACCTAAAAGCAGCAAAAACTAATACCACAGAAATGTCATGTCGTGGTTAGCAAACCTGAGAATATAAAGATGTAAAATTAATTTATATAGTGTTTATAACTTAAGCTGTTTTCCCAGCTCTGATGAGGAGTGATTACAATTTTCTTTTTCTTTCAAACAGGATGTTATCAGCATATATAGAACATGAACTTTTTTTTACAAGGAAACTCATACCTCCTAACTTCGGAAACCAAATCATGAAAGCACCATTCCCAAGCATTCATTTTTAGTACACGTATACCGGAAATGACGTCATGTATCAGACGCAGTCTCCTGTCCGTTATCCTGGCGGCCTTGTCCTGAAGACTTTTGAAAACGTTTCCCAGAGTCGTGTGACAGAAGATGAGAGCTATTGAAAAGACCACACCTCCAAATGTTTGCCAGCCTACTAAGTTCCACAAAAGAGAGAAAACGAGAAGTATCTCCAGAGGAGCAGAAAGCGATCTAACGTTAGAGAAAACTTGATGGATCGGGACCATGTCCTTGGAGATCAAGTTTATCAAATACCCTGAAGTTCTTTCGGCAAGAACATGATGGCGCGTGTTCAGAATCTGCAAGAAAAGGAAAAGGCACAAGATAATTAATGATAAGGTGAAGTTCAACTTTGAATTTTGTGTATTATCAAACCCGCAAAAAAGAAATGTGGATAAAAGTTGTTCAGTTCCAACAAGATAAAATTGATGATAATCTTGACATTTGTAAAAGACGTTTAATCGTTTGTCTCATAGTGTAATCGTTTTCGATGTGGATCGCGATGTCTCGACTACGGTCCGGTTTCCTCTGTTATTGCGAACCTAAACATGGAGAATTCAAAAGAGCAAGTAATAACTTTATCCGCATGATCCCACAACTCTGAAATCTGGAAACGCCACGTTTTCGCCTCCTTCGACACTGCAGTCTCAAGAGAATTTGGCTGATGTCTAACCATCGGCTTATACAAGAAGGCTATGCATACTGAAAAATTCTTAGCGTATCACACATACCATCCACCATCAGTAAGGAGTGTTTCCCATGGGCGTGAGAGATAAAAGTTTGCAAAAGAGTTATCAGTAAAAATCTGTCTTGTAATGGTAACGGAAAGAAAATAGGTGTTAATTGTAAAA